GTTTTTCCAAGGACATCAAGTGCAGAGGTATCAATAAATCTTGATCAAGTTCTTGATCAAGAATTTTCAAGAAAAAAAATCTTTAAAGAACTTGTGCAGATTTTCTCTTTCTGCAAGACGTGGGTATTCTCCGAAACAGAAGCAGAGTAATTTTAGAAATAACTGTAACTCTGGAAACTTCATGTACTATTGCGCTAAATAATATTCATGCTGATTTAAGTTTCAAAAATCTAGCACACGAAACAAGGAGTGAAGTTATAAAATCAAGCGTGACATCGTCAAATGCATCTTACATCTGTTGTTCATACGGACAAAAGAGAGAACAGCCAAGCCTAATTAGCTGGTTAGAACCATTAATAGGCGCATAAAAGCATCCAGAAATCAAAACAAACTCAAGCCACCTAGTACCTTCCACGCAACCCATCAAACGCAAACTACAAGCCAACCAACTATTCAGATATCCAACACACACACCGTACCGACAGCTCAACACTGCCACCTCCGGCACTCTCCGAACGCAACGTCCAAAAGCTAACCAACCGTCCAATCAAACATGTCGCAATTCATGAACGCATCGCATCACCATCCGATTCATTCCACTCCTAGGTAATCAATGCCACCAAATGACATGTCACTTTCGTCACACCAACGCTCCTCGGATGATGAGGACGTCACCAGCAACCGAATCAATGATGATGGAACGAGTGAAGAATGCCAACGAGGAGACTATACATGTATCTCCTAGATGTTCCATGGCACAAAATCGCATTTCACTTTCGTCACAGCAATGCTCCTCAGACGACGACGAGGTCACGAATAACTGAATCAATGATGATGGAACGAGCGGAAAATGCTAAGCAAAATATGCCAATGAATAATGATGAAGCGAGTGAAGAGCGCCAAAGATTGCACTATTCATTTATATCCGAGATGTTCCACGGAACCAGACAACATTTCAGCTTCGCCACACCAATGCTCCTCTGACGACCACGAGGTCACCAACAACTGAATCAATGATGATGGAGCTAGAGGTCTGCGGGACACTCCCAGTCCCATCCCGGTCCAAAAATGAGTTCTTTTCACGGGACTGGGACCAGGACCGGGACTAAAACTTTTTTTGTCCACGGGAAACGTTTGGTCCCACAGACTTCTAGATGGAGCATCTGAAGAATGCCAACGAGGAGACTATACATGTATCTCCTAGATGTTCCATGGTAAAAAATCGCATTTCACTTTCGTCACAGCAATGCTCCTCAGACGACGACGAGGTTACGAATAACTGAATCAATGATGATGGAACGAGCGGAAAATGCCAAGCAGCAGATTATTAATCTATCCAGTACATGTTCCACGGCATCAGATGACATTTCACTTGCGTCACAGCAATGCTCCTCTGATGACGACGAGGTCACCAACAACTGAATCAACAAGTGCAGCAAGTGAAGAACGCCAAGCAGGAGACTATTCATCTATCTCGCAGATGTTCCATGGCACCAGATGACATTTCAGTTTCGTCACATAAATGCTTCTCTGACGACGACGAGGTCAACAACTACTGCAAGTAATAAGAGTAGCTACAAAAGTAATTTTGGTCATATCGAGACTCGAGACTAAACTTTTGGGTATCGAAACTTTTCGAGACTCGAGGCTACAGTATCGAGGCTTCTCGTCTCGGTGCATGCCTAGCGACACATAGAACCATCAGTTCATCAATCCTCTGAGATTATAACGACGATAAAAAGAAGAGGGAAAAATAACTTTTTTCAGGAACTTGTCAAAGTGTGTTGTTATAACTGATCATCTAAGTTATTTATTTATTTATTTTCGGCGACAAAGAGAAAGGGCATAGACAAAAGCTGGAGGCCCAAGTAAAAAATCTTGACTGTAGATCTTGATAAAAACTTGAAGGATTTCTTAAATTTCTGTTCAGCTCTTTCAAGATCTTATGCAGATTTATCGATATCTGACAAGATTCTAAGATCATCTTTCAGTTCACAGTTCACATGATGGCCAGATCTCAAGCCGTTTGACGACCAGGCGACCGCATCAGAAGGGCCATAAATATGGGCCATTGTCTTGTTGTGTCGACAATGATTTATTTATTTCTATATCGATTTAACCGGAATTAGTAATGAAAAATTAACACTATGCCAAGCACTATCACAATATTTTAAAACAAAGGTCAAACCAAGACTTCTGTAACATCCATAAATTTTATCCATACATCTCTACTATCAACGTAAAATTTCAAAATTTTCCGGCGATTATAGCGTTTGTAGATAGAAATTTATCGATGCCTTCGTTTGACCTAATACAAATCAAACTCTATTACCAAGTTATTATGAAATTCCTGAGTAACCTGGAGATAACTTGGCTTTTGTATAACACATCTGTCGAGTGTGTAAGTACATTTTGAGATGTCAATAGCTCCTTGCTACCATCCCATCGATGTCAACAGTACCCCCCTTTCTAAAATACTCTTTTTTGTTTCAGGAGGGAAAGGATACCCTTAAATTGTTTACTGAGATCATCTTTCCAGATCAACACAACTTTGATGAGAAACATAACATTTCAAGATAATATAGACATTAATAAAATTTATCTCATGGTAGAGGTCGGTATGTAAGATTCGAAAAATGTATTAAATTTTATTTCAGTTTCTTTTACAATGGGTATAACTTATTATACGGGGTTGGCTCTTCTCCAAAACAGCACAATGTTATCCCCATTACAGAGGCAGTCGAATAACTTGTAACAGTCCAATCAGAATTTGTGTGGCAGAAGATTTGGATTTTAGTGGGAATTTAGTCGAGTTCTACTAAAGTAAGGGAGGAGGGGCAATAAAATCAGTGATGTCCTGAATAGGGCTGGATAAAGTAGTATACTCTTCCCTGTCTTGTCAACATTTTTTTCGATTTTGAGTTTTCTTCGAAATTTCTTGTTCTTAATTCTTCTCAACGATTCTTGAGGAAATTTCTCCTGTAGTTTAAGCACAGTTATTATAGTGGTCTTAATTTACAATAATGGTTTTGAAGGATATAACCTTCTATGTCAAGTGACGGAATAAGTGTAAAGTTTTGAGGATGCAGACGAAGAAACTCATTCTTTCACGTGTTTTACAGTTCTCAAAACTTAATTTTAGCACAGAGCATGTGTCGATGCATACCTAAAGCGATAAAGCACACTTTCTCTTGTATGAGTTTTGGGGATGCATATAAGGCACAAGTTTCTTATAAGCTGATAATGCTGAACCTTCTTTAGAAAAAATTATTTTGTCGATTCTTCATTCTGTATTTCGGACTCGATGATATCCACTGTTTTCTGTGCTAGATAGTCTTCACTTACGATAGTTTTAGTAGAAAAAGCTTTTCCGTCAACCTCTGTCCACAGAAAAGGCTCTTAATCACTGCTCCCCTTGAAAACTTATTTCTAGTCAGAAGATGCATTTGAAAAGTTATTCATGTCTATTCATTCAGCCTATGACGGCAGTAAAAAGACAACTTTTCTTTTTTTCTCAGCATATATAAGAAAGTTTTTTCTCAGCATATATATACTGTTAGATCAAATACTTTATACACAATTTTGAGTCATTTCCAAACACGAGATCGTATTTTAAATTTCGATGTGCCAGAACAACGCGGACGTAAGAGACTGTATAGGTAATACAGTCCATTATTTCACATAAGACGGTTAAAAATGTAGATCTTTTCTATTGTAAAATATTTTAATTTTTTCTCTTCTGGCACATCGAAATGAAAACGTACAAAGACAGAGGGACAAGGCATTATTTGCTGTTCTAGCATCTTGACTGACTAGTTTAAACTGTACATGAAGTAAAATCACATAATTTTCTAGAACGTCCTTGTTATCATTTTCCTTTACTATTTTAGGGGGGGAAGGTGACGACCGTCGTTGAAATGACAAAAAAAGTCGAAATCGAATTTTTTTCTCGGTAAAATACGCTACAAAGAAGATGACAATTTCATTCACTTTCTTCTTTTTGTAGAATATTTGTATTTTGATTTGTTTTATTGCCGACGTTGCTATTATCAAAAAATTTTTTCTTGTTTTCTTGTTCGATTATAATAATAATTTCCCATTTATTTGTCAATAATGAATTCTCTTGGTCAAGGTTTACGTTATGATGAAGATGATGAACACGTTTTTGATGATAGTCCGGTAGCTTCCGTTTCACCACAATCGAGAACACCACCGGATTCTCCGCTTTATGGCATTGCGCGTCAATCGAATATTGAACAAATGAACAAAACTGAACAACAAATATCAATTGATGAAATCTCACAGTTAAATGCTGGTAAGAAAAGAAATTAATGTTTAGCTACTATTTCTCATATAATTTCGACTTTATCAGGAATGTACAAGTTATATCATACAAATAAGTCAACAGTTGGTGAACAATTGCAAATGAAAAATTTAACGGCAGCAAAAATTAATGAAAATTATTTGACACCACCCCAATCACCGTTTATTCCACCAAAGTATTCAAATTTGCTATCAGCATTCCAAAACGATGACTTAATGAAATTAGCTGAACAGTCACCGCTTGCTAAGCGATTAAATCCTCCTGATTCATTGTTCAATGATTGGTCAATCAATGTTCCATCAACAGAAGTTTTAATGACAAATTCTCAATCATCATCCAAAAGTCAATCAAGTCTTCAACGTTATATGAGTCCACAACGTATAATGTCTGATAATACAATTCAAGGTGCGACAGGTAAATTGAGATTATATAAAGAGATCGTGCCATGTGAGAGTACAACACGACGGAATTCCTTTCTGTGTTTAGGTGATTTTTCAATTGAAAAGGACGTTGACAGTTTCGAGCCAAAGCGACATATATCTGTTACTACGCATGTGGAAACAGGTAAATATTTCACATAAAATAAATTCGCTAAGTTTAATTTCTATTTCAAAATCTTTATTGTTAGAAGGGAATCATTTGTATTCGTACATTGCAAAAGCAATTGATTCCTCATCTACAACTACATGGTCAAATCTTGGTATTGCAGATGCTTCACAACAACATTCGTTCAATCAAGATCTTGGTCACAATTCACCACTTCCAAATGATTTACGGGCCCCAGGTGCACCTCTCCATGGATTATCGGCATTATCAAAACCACGTGGCCCATCGTCGTTTAGTGCAATGAGTGCCAACCAACAACATTCGGCCGTGCCGCTAATATTTCCACAGCAGCAAAATCAAATGGTCGTACGTAGTGCTCAACAAGCAATGCCAGTGTTTTCGTCAACATCCGGCATTTCCCAACATTTTTATCAACAGCAATATCGTACTCATCAACCGCAATCGATGCCATCGTACAATGCTACGGATCCATCATATAATTCAATCGTGGACGCTGCCGTCAGTGCTGTTCTCCTAAGACAACAACAACAACAACAGCAACTGGCTCAACAAAATATCGGTGGTTTGTCGTCTATGTCATTTCTTACTCCAGCACAAGCTCAATTAGTTAACAATAACAATAACAGGCCATTACGTTCAGAAAAAATTGATATTGAAATAATTAAAGCGTTAATTCGTCAAGCAAAAATGAAACGTCGACTTGGATTGAAAAAAGAGGTAAATATATCGCTTTTCTTGCCTTTTTTTGAAATCAGTAATTATTTGTTGTTCCAGGTGTGTGTCTTCTGTCGTAATAATGGTGAGAATGAATTGATTTACACCAGTCATAGTCTGAAGGATTCAAATGGTAATGTGTCATGTCCAATACTACGAGCTTATCAATGCCCAATATGTGGTTCAACAGGTTCAGCAGGTACACATGATTCTAATGGCTCTTTTTGTGCTGATTAGGGACCGTTTTCTTTCTTCCATTTTCAGCCCATACAATTAAATATTGTCAAGCAGCTAGTGAAGATACTAAACGTTTATGTACACCATATGAAAAATTGCTTCGTCAACAATTGTTACAATCACTAGATGGTATGAATATGTATGGTTTTTGTCTGTGATTGTGTTGTGTGATGATGTGTCTGCGCAACGAATTAACTATAACTCAATGAATTATCAATAGTTTTTTTCTGTCTTTGATTAATTTCACTGTCATTTCAAGTTTCATTATTATTCTCTCTCAATCTTAGTTTATTTATTCTCTGTAATTCATTGGTTTTTATGCATGCATTCGTTTAGAACCATAAATGCAATATTAAAAAAAAGAACAAGTTATTAAAAAAATTGACCATCGCATGATTTAGTAGTTATTCTCTTTTTCTGTTTTTTTGTCATTTGGTTCAAATTTTTATTCATTACTTGCTTGGTGATGTGAGTGTAATCACAGTAGTTTTTGTCCATATATTTCGTTCAGTTTGTGTGTATAAGTTTAGTAGTTTTTTCAGTAGTTTTTTTCTCGATTCATTTAGTTTTGACTATGCGGATTTTTCAAAGCATATATGTATTTTCTGTATGTTTTGTTTCGTCTCCGCGTTTTGTTTAGATTTCTAATAAATTTTATTGGAAAAGAGTTTTTTTGGCAACTATAATGTGGAACAGATGATTTATTTTCAACAGAGCAATACTTAACTCAGAGAATGCACTGTCAGGTATATGTTATTTGACTTTGCCTTGATGAAAAACCTTTGCAATGACTATTTTTTGAGTTTTATATTGGCCATTTCACTTGACTTGGTCGAAAACGTGATTCCGATACTTTTCACAAAACGCGTGAAGGTCGTGATTATCTCATTTTGTGATGAAAAGTGTGCTTAACAAGATGACACGTGTCAGAGCTTTCTAACGCTCTTAGTCACGGAGATATTGTAAGATATTCAGTATCACTGTTTAAAGAAGTTTTTTAAAATAATTTCTGTTTCAATATATCTCCGTGGCTAAGAATCTTAAAGAGTTAAGCACACTGTTTATCACAAAATGAGATAATCACTAGCTTCAGGCGTTCTGTGAAAAGGGTCAGAATCGCGTTTACAGCTGAGTCAAGCGGATGGGCTTTCTCTCAATTTTATCTCTTGAGTCGTGAATCCCTGTATTTTATATTACATTACAGTACGTTTTATTTTATTGATGTTTTCATATCAAAAATGCAAGCGAGGATCTAGTGATGAACCAGGTCTTGGGACCTGATCTCAAAGATCCCTTATTTTCGATAGTCAAAACCGCCAAACTCTACCGAGCTTTTATGTTAGATTTCACCAGTTTTCTCTAATCTATCTGAAACTAGTGTTAGGATTGATAAAATTTAATAAACATAAATAAAATCAGAGAAATTTGGTTAAGTCTAGCATAAACTCGGTAGAGCTTGGCGGTTTTCACTATTGAGAATAAGGGATCTGTCAGATCAGGTCCTAAAGCTTGGTACATCCATACGTGACCTTCTAATATGACAATTCCTCTATCCTCTCAATAGAATGTGTTTGATTGAAAAGAAACAGTATTATTCATACATCATCATACATACGCAAAAACCTTCCAATTATCTTTAGTTTTTCCCATGACGATTTTCGAAAATGTGAATTATACTGGAAGAATTTAATTTCAATAGAAGATGTATATATTTTTTAACGTATAGAGGCACATTATTCTGGTTATTTGTACATCAAATAAAGAACACAATAAAATAGAAAAACATCAGTTCAAAAACAAAACAGAATAGCAAACAATTACAAATATCACCTCAACATAAGGCGTATATATGTGGTGTGTAAGAGAACTTCCCATATTAAAAACAAACAAACAATTAAAATAAGATGCATTGTGTCTTGCAAAACTTCTAAAAATGAAAGATGTCAGAAGAGTACTCTTGAAACTAGACATAATTAGAGAAGTTAAAAAACTGGAAGATAAATTGAAGTTAACCTCGTGTTTTATTGATGCTTTTAATTTCTCAAGCTCAAGGTTAAAAGAATATGCCCGTTAGTTCCACAAACTGAGAATAGAGAAGGAAGGATCTTTCGCATACTATACGAGTGATAAAAAAAGATTTCTGAAAACTATATGAATAGATTATCGAAATTACTTTCATAGAAAAGCTGTATCTGTATTAAAATAAAAACTGAACTAGAAAAAACATATTCATTTGACAAAATATTGTTTCTGGAGAGAAATCAAGTGCACTTTTCTTGACTTTTAAACGAATATAATACAGCGCCAACTTTTTAACGGTATGTCAAATAGAATAAAGGCTACAGATATATCTATGAATATCACAGGTAATAAAAAATAAATAGAAAATAAAGAAAACTATACAAAATGGAGAAACAAAAAAAAAAATGCTATCTTTTAAACAGACGCCACAAACCACCTTTACGTTCTTTTCGTGGTGCCATTAACATAGGTACTTGATTTTTATGTGTAATCGAAATTGTGCACGGTGGTTGTAACCAAGGTTCGCCATCAATTTGCATTGGAAATGATTTTCTCGTTCTTGAAATAAATTGTATTACAAAATTTCGATATAGTTATGTATGATTTATTTTTTAAATGCATCGCACTTTTTTCGATCATTTCTTTATTTTCTTCTTAAAGTACTGCTAAGAATATATTAAGTAAACGAATTACTCACCGAATGACCACTGTTGAACATTGACCAAGACGTTTGGCTGATGAATGAATTCCAGCATAAATTGATCCAGCATGCAGTGCACTTTGGACACCAACAACTTCGATCAATTTATCTCCAACATCTAAAATAATATAATTATGATACTAATGTATTTTCTATTTTCGAAAAAACAAGTTCTTCTTACCTTGCAACACAAATGTCATTTCTGATGTACTACTTGTTGAATATTCAGAATCTTTGCGTTGAAAATTCAATTGGGCTTTATTTCTATTTTTTCTTGAACTTTCGCCCCATAAACTTATACCACCGTAAATACTAGGTATATTGAGGAGTGATATGCCTTCCAGAGACGGTCCGTTTGCCAAATCTAATGATACACCATCACACTGCAATAAATAATAGAAAAAAAAATAAATTGTTAATAAATTGATTCAATTTAACATAAAAAAACTATATAATTCATGTACCATTATGTCAATGTCCTCATGTAGATTTTTACACGTTGAGAAAATTGCCTCGGATGTCCCAAACTCAAGATACCATAATTTGTTTTTCATCCTAAAAGTTAAACGCATAATCTATAGTGTTTTGAATCAGTGCATTACTTTTTCTCCCTCTGATATGCACTCTGCTATTTATATGAGACTGTAGCGCACACTGTGCTCCATACACTTTAGTGCAAAGTAGGACTGTAACCGTTTATATTGATTTGGGATAAGAATTTGAATGAAAACGATAATGGTTTTGCCACTGAAGTCCTCAACTCTCCACTGCATCTCATCAGTTGATGTTCTGAATAGTCAACGTAAAATATTATGTCGTTAGATGTCGCTACACTAGAGTTCAGTGTAAGTAGAGGGACTCACTACTAATCATCTTTAATAGCTTCTCAGAAGGAAACATAATTGAAGACAAGAGGCAAAAAACGGAAAAAAAAGGTAAATTTTTGATAGACGAGGGATCTTCACCCAAATCACTCTTTCCCAGAAAAAATAAAGATAGCACTTATTTAAGAAGCTTAGAATAGTGGATTTCAACTGATGAAATACCGTTGAGAGTTTAGAACGTCAACCACTACAGCTACATCTCTAGTACAGAGATTACCAATGACATCTATTCTTTTTTAGAATATCTTATCTAAAATCAATTGATGCATGTAAAACGATTAAGTTACCTGCTGTTAAATTTTTCTGGATGTTTTTCACGCATCAAGTGGAATCGATGAGCAATTGATGCATCCTAAAATGTACATATTAAATAATCAACCGAGCTATATTCATATTTTCGATGCAGTATGAGAATACATACCACGCCAATAGAAAAATAATTATTTATAATGTTATATGGTATCGGATCACCCTTCTCTTCAATATCATTTCTTGTTGAAAATTCTATTTGCCAGCGATCAAGCATAACAACAGGAGCTTGTGACACTTTTTTTAAAACTTTATTCAGTGATTCACCTTCATAGCCACCACCCCAAGATAAACATCTTGCAAGATCATTTCCTGTACCTAATGGAAGCACGGCAACGGGAGCACGACGACGTAAAACTAGTTTATCCATAACATCTAATACCTAAAAGTATATTTTCTAACATTAAACTAGAACCCATGAAAATTTCAATTGTAGTAAACCTACCCAGCCAACTGTACCTAAAAAATGAAATTTATCATATTATAAAAAAAATGAGTAATAATTTACGTTTACCATCACCCCCACAACAGAGAACTCGAAAATCTTCAATTTCTTTAAAAAATTGTAATCTAAAGAAAAAAAGAAAGTTAGTTTTATTGAAAATGAATGTTTAAAGAATATTATACCCAGGCATCGGTCCAGTCTTAATTAAATTAAACACCTGCCGAGGATTCAATAAATATTGAAATTTTCGCATTATCCTACAAAAACAAATTAAATTCACACTCGATTTATTTTGAATATAATTCTATTACCTTTCACCTTGTTTTCCACCACTTTTGGGATTGATAAAAACTAAGAGAGGATGTGTGTTCGAAGGCGGATTAATTTGAAATGACTGAAATTAAATAAATATACACGTTATATTTACTTCTTTTCATTTAGAACAAAATGAATAGATAATATTTGTTAAATATTATTTGGAAAAAGAAACTTATCTCCGATCATTGATGTAGTTCAGTCTATTTTAAGAAGCTTTTTTCTGAAACTGACCTGTATTGATCCCTCACATGAAGATTCTTCTCGTTTTAATCCACCACGTGGTAATGTTTTTTGACGTTCCTGAATGAGAAAAACATTTGTTTAGTAAACAGAAAACTATTTCGTTTATAAGACTTACTAAAACAGCGGGCGATATACAAGAAGGAGGTAAAATATGTTCACGATTCATGCCCAATGTGCACTCTGGTTTGACATGTGATGCGCACTTATTATGTAGCTAATAATAACCAGAAAAAATATCAGACAATAGTACGAATATGACTAGTGAGAAATAATGAAAATTATACCGTCAACTGACACCATCGACAATGTAAACCGGTTATGCCATTGTAAGTTTTTATTGATTTTTTACATCGATCACATTTTGTCGGACAATTTCCTTCGATCCAATGATGTAACATAGTCTGAAAAGAAAGTTTAAAATCTTTTTTAGAATCAACTAGAATCTTTAATACCACAATTCTCTTACATTATCAGCTTTTTTTGCTTTAGAATATGTTGAGACACACGATGCCGGTGCTCTATTTGCACAACGTTCATGAACAACGTATCGACAAACTGAAATAAAAATATTAAAAGTATTATTTTAATATTTTTGTGCATAATAATACTTACACGTGCAACATAATCCTTGTTTTCCTAGTCCAACTAACATTGTTAAACATAAATTACAATAGGCTGGTTTATTGAAATGTTTTAGACGCCAAACATGTGTCCCATCGTCTTTCACATTCTAAAACAGTCTAATATAATTTTTATTGTTTCTAAGAAGAATACAATGAATATTACCGAATCTAATCCTAATAATACTAATAATGGTGCAGTTGTTAAACCGCCTTTTTTCCATTCTTCAAGCGTCACTTCTCCATCTCCATCATAATCAATTTCTTTCATCATTGATTCCAATATCTTAATATAATACATACTTTTACACAAAGTGATCACCTATAAATAAACTGTACTTACAGGACGTAATTCTGTCACATCCCATCCCAGATATTCGGCAACATTCATCATTTGAGTCACAATACAATCCGTTTCCTACATAAAATTTTTCAAATAACGAATATCATATCAATACCGAATATTTATCTTACCTGTTTATCTAATATACCATTATCATCTTCATCATATAACATAAACATGACTAAATAAAAAAGGATGAATAAAATATTAGAAGAAAAATGAAGATAAATTTAAATAGTAAAATTACATTCAAGTTTTTGTTCTGGTGAACCACCTTCGAGTAATGAAAAATAGCACACAATATCTTTAAGATAAATTTTTGCTAAATTAATATCAATTTGTTTGCTAATTTCTTTATCAGAAATTTTAAATAGTGAATGGGAAATAGATTGTCGAATCCATATATCATCATTGGTATTAGATGTAACTTGAACAAAAATAATATGATAAAAATATATAATACAACCAGAAAGCAATGTTTGTTACCATTAGTATGAAGTGAATGAATCGAATGAATGGAAGGATTTGATTTACGTGATGAGTTTCGTGAATTATTGGGTGATACTGCTTCATTTTGTTCATGTGAACCGGCACGACGAAGAAGATTTTGTTGATGTTTGCCCGTCGAACAAATACCTAATAGTTAATTGATCATTTAAGATTATGAGCATATTAGATTTGGTGTTCATCAAAACTTAGTGTCTTATTAAAAGTAAAATCATATGTTAGCAATTTTTTATTCGCTGTCTGTTAACATGCTGTGATCTTTATAAGATTTCTTTACGTCTCAATTGATTTTTTTTTAATAAGAATTTGCGTTACCCTTCCTCAACGATGAATCAACATCTCGATTATGATATCGAAATTTTTCTGTAAACTTGAGAAATCCTGGAATATTGCTGTTATTTACACCATCCATATTTAAACTTGATTGTTGATTAATTTTCGTCGCCGTCGGTAACATTGCCAGCGTAGAAGTTGGTCCGGCATCTTTTTCTGCTGATAAAATTGGTTTTTTAATAAATGAAAGAAATAAATGTTGACATAATTCTTCTGGAAGTTCGGTATTATCAAGATAAGCAATAAGAAATTGTTTAAATCCTTTATAATCAAGTTGCTTAAATAAAATATTGACAATATATTGAATACTAATAGAAAATGTTTTTTTTACTTACTTCATCATGTTTATGTGTCAACCATGATGAATCTTGTTCGAGTTCAGCAAGTACATCTTTGACTTTTTTTGGTGCGTCTATAAATATACAAAGAGTAATCGATCAGAAATACTAATTTTTCCAAAAGAAAGTGAACGTCTTTGACTCCGATTGTTTTGTGCGCTCTATTTGATGATCTCTGTCGACGACAAATTTAAAAATTGTACATTTGTACTACTATATATCTTCGCCTTTATAGAAAATCAGACTTATATCATACAAAAAACAATTACCATCATCATCATCAATAACAGCAAGATAAAAAGATTAAGCAATGTGTTAATCTCTCTATTACGTGTTCGCAGACCATGTAATAGTATAAAATGTCATCGAAATGATAACACAAAAATTTTTTGATCTAATGTTCGATGTTCTATATTATATCTATAATCTATGTTATGCCAAGTGACGATAAAATGACAGTTTAGTAGTCAAGAAATAATAAGTTGTCTTTGTCAATATTCTATTTAATTAGTGTAAGCATGAAAAATATAAACAGATTGACCTTTCTATAATTATTTGTCAGACCTTATTCAAACAAAAAACAAATGAGAGTGAGAATAAATGCTAATTGAAATAATAAGGACAAAAATTTATATAGTCTGACATAAATACTCCAACTGCCATCGTATTGATTAGCTCATTATTGAATCTGTAAACTTTTTTTTTTAAAGTTCTTCTCTACGCTGAAATAGCACAAGTACAGTGAAAATATTCATATATATATTCAACAATCAATCTTAACAAACTCTTGCACTTTGTAGATATAATTTTTACTTACACGAAATATATTCTTGCAGCTGTGTAAACTCGTTTGGAGCAAGTTTTTCCCAATTAAATCGGCTCATCACCGTCGTTTGTCACTATAGTCCATATGAAAAAGAGAAGCTTTTGTTGCATAGCTCTCTTTGGTAAGACATATTATTAATCGACGCTCTATGTATATTTAAAACTCTTTATATATAATTTGTTTTTTTTTCTTTCTTGTTCTTGTAGAGTTTTTTGAATTAATGTGTATAAAAAAAAATCGAATATACTTGATAAGAACTTGTTTTTTTTTTTCTTCTTCGTCTTCTTTAATGTCTCTTGTCTATTGTTGATTTGATATATTTATTGTCACTTCCGTCCGGTCTTGAGACTGCGAAAAATAACTTAATACACTACTATTGAAGCAGATAAAAGATTTAATAAATATATCGGATTTTACTATAGATTAATATTAAATGTCGATAAAATTAAAGTCAATTTAAAACCCAATAATATCATGTCTATTTAAATAACTTTAACGTTGACACTGTATCATGATCTAAAATAAAAGTAAATGAAGTTAGATAAAATATTCATTTGTCTCTGTAAACAGTGAATTTGAGATGGCAGATTCAATGATACCATTGGTTGAACGTTGCCGCAACATCGCATGTACACGTATAAAACAGTTCAGTAACAAGGAGAAAATTGATAGGATCTTTTCTTGTCTTATTAAAAAGTCAATGAGAAAATTTAGGCAGAGAACAAAAATTATGAAGCAAAGTACCTTTTATCGTTTGAAGATTCATTTCTAAGAAAAATCCTCGTCTGAAATTCGCCTCTTTGAATCATGTTTTGTTAATATATTCTAAAAACTTTCGAACTCTGACCTATTTATAAGTATATGAGAAGCTAACACTTAGATATTAACCTTGTCTCTTGAGATGATTTGTAAATCTCAAGCTTCATTTGATCTTTCCTTGGAAGTATATGCAATGATGTTTCCACAATCTATTCGACTATGGATGGAAAATGCTTTCTCTTCCAACTGAACGGTTTATGTTCTTAAAAGATTAATTGCAACGGAAAACAATATGTGTACTTTTTAATTCGAAACAAGACATAAGTCATAACTTACAAAGTTTATAATTTTCTATTTGACTCGTGTGGATAAGAAACAAAAACAAAAGTAGTACCACAGAATACGTCATGAGTCTATTGGATTTTTTGTGTACAAAGTTTTAACATAAATGAAAGCATTTCCAATAAGAGAAAAATCGATGCAGTTTCTAACGAGTGTATGTCAATTACCTAAATCTCGAAGACTAGAGGTTTTCGAACATGCTGAATCTATTGATGGTGTTAGTTTTCATTGATTTTTGGCTTTCATCATGTGATTCTGGAAAACCTAGATCTTGAGTTGATAAGTTTTGAAGCATCTTTATCGAAAAATCAGCGATAAATGAAATTTTCTTTGAATACGTTCATTGAATAGAGCAAATTTCTCTTAAATTTTCTCTAAAAATGGAGTTTTGATTAAAAAATGACTTTGTTTTGAAGGAGTTTTAGAAGATCTTTAATGGAAAACCAAGGTTTTTGAGAGATTTTCTCTGCTAAACTGGAATGGTAATTTAAATTTTCTTTGATGTTCGCTTCGAATTTGTTAAATCGTGCAGTTTAAACTTATAAGGTTGCCAAAGTCAGATTTAATTACTGCTTTTTTTATTAGGTTTCTAGAAAACCTTTGGAAAACCACCACTAGAAAAAATAGAATTTAATCGAAAAAATCATGTTTTACATACTTCGCAGTAAAAACGATCATTTTATTACAAATCTACTCAAACCCGACCTTTCTATCACATCGCTATTGCTGCAGGTGCTCATTTTTTGGAGATCACCATAACATTTTATCCTTACATTTTCAAATGTCAGAACCACATGGAAACATAGGTTATAGCCAACGCTGATTATCGTGGTAATCAGTTGTTTCGTTCCCGAAGTTCAACTGACGTTGGATCTAAAGATGTGACTTTCCAGTGTAATTAAATTAAAGTGAAACAAACAACATCCGATAGAATGTGAAGAGTTATGATAAAAAATGTTACCACGATAATCAGCGTTGGCTATAACCTATGTTTCCATGTGGTTCTGACATTTGAAAATGTAAGGATA